GAACATACTATATTTGTTTCTTCCTACTATTTTGCTATATTTTAGCATTTATAGCATCTAAATGAATCTACTAAATTTGTAGCAACATATAAAGAGTTAGTCTTCTTTTCTTGAAAGTTCTATTTCCTATCTGTAGAATTTTCAAGAAATTATCATGCCTTATCATAAGTTATAATTAATTAAATATTATTTTCACTTGCTAAGCTTTAATAATAATACAAATTCTATTCATTCATTGTTAATCCATCATTAAATCATCAAAAATTAAATGTATATACTCAAATATTTGATTTTCTTAATTATTTATACATGAAATTATCGTAATCCATTTTGGAGTTGCTATATTAGCTTTCAGAAAGTCAATCTATATATTCTCTATAAGAGCCTTTTCTTTTAACCGTATTAAGGCCATAATATCTTTAAATATCAAATATTTAATACACTTTTATTTATGATTTATTTATAGTCACAACTAAACCATCTCCCTGATTTCCTTGCCAATATGGCTGAATTTTCGGGAAATTTGTCTTCAGAACTTCAAAACAATATTAATAAACCACTCATAATGGACGATTTTCTTCGAACGCCTCCCACTGGATTCGTAGAATCTAGCACCTCCGTTGACCACCTAAACAGTTTACTTGCAGTGGTAGAAGGATCTACGAACAGGACAAATGAAATGGTATCTAATCCACTTCTCCGAGAAACAAACAAGCGCATTGTTTATGTAACAAATGAACTGAGGCATGAGTATCTGAATAATGACCAAGGTGATCCATCATCGTCTTCACAAGTTACCCAACCAGCAACCCAACTGGAAGATCCACAGCAAGCTATCAAAGCAGAAATAGCAAAATCAGAGAGTTCGTTAGAAGAGACTATTCGACAAGCAGAGCGTAAGGCAGAGCATGATCTCTTGAGACCAAGGATATCTTCTGTCTTCCCTTTAGTCAACTTCTCTTCAACTGGATTGCGGAGTAATTAGTAAGTAAGAAAGATTTAAATTATACTATGACAATACTAGTCTATTTTTAGTCAGTATCCGATACAGTATAACAAAATATTATGTCACTTTACAATAATACTCTGAATGGACAAAGGAGCTAGACGTTATATAAATAAAAGTGTAACGGGTACTTAAATTATCATATCCAAACATACCGTGCGTTATATAATAAGCATTGAAAATTTTCGGTTTAATTATTTTAAACTTATTTTCTCTGCATATAAATGTACTTTGCGTAATTTATATTAAAGTCCCTGTTAACAAGTATTTTTAAGAATTTGTTTGACCTTGTTTTCGCAACTTGGTA